AGGGAACTGACAAGCCATCGCGTTAACGAATGCAATGACTCGATTGCTATCCGGGTGCTTGACGAACCCGGGGCAGGCGGTGCTAGCCATCGCTACGCTATCGATGGCCCTACCCGCGAGATTGGCGGCGAGTCGGCTCCGGCTTTCCGCTGCGACATCCGTTTCCAGAACGGGCCGATCAAAGAGTCGGGCGTTAACGGCATCACTCAAGAGGCGTTGCTGGCGGTCGTCGAGGATCGCCTAGCGTCTTTCCAGGACGGGCCGTACGCGTGCCGCGAAAACGCGATCGCCCTCACGAAGGTCCAGGAAGCCATGCTCTGGCTGCACAAGCGGACCCGCGATCGCCAGGCCCGCGGTGTCGAGGGCACGCACGAAAAGTAACCCGCCGCCGGGCGGATAACCCCGGCATGAGCGTTGAGCGTAGAGGGCAAAAAACGCCCCGCGTCACTACCGCGGGGCTGACCACGAATCCTAGACAGGAGGAATCATGGCTGAAAGCAATGTACCTGAAACCGAACTGAAAGAGATACCCAGCCAGCCAGGCTACTTCGTGAATCGGGCGGGTGATGTGTACAGCGGCTGGAAGCTTGGGTGCGTCGAAGGTCGCAGCAAGACTCTGCGCAAGATGACCCCGGCCAAGCACAAGAGCGGGCACATGTATGTGGTTACCAAGTGGTCCAAGAAAGTTCGTGCAAGAAAAGCGGCGGTGCATCACTTGGTCTTGGAAACCTTCGTAGGCCCACGGCGAAATGGGATGGAGTGTCGCCACCTCAACGGAGACCCCGCGGACAACAGATTGTGCAACCTGGCATGGGGGACGCGAGAGGAGAACGTGCGCGATGCGATTCGCCATGGAACCTTTCGGCCCTACGGAAGGACAGCGACCGCACTCAGTTGAGTGTGCGAAGAGGTTTTAACTGCCGTGTTCTTAACTGGTTTTGAAAGGATGGGTTTTGTTATGAGACGCATTAGTGCTCTTGGAGTGTTCGTGGCGTTATCCGCCGCGATGTTTCTGGTTGCTGCTCCGTCGCAGGCTTGCGGCCCGGCTGCAGGCGGCGGCACTGTGTTCAGCTTCAACGCTGGGCCGGCGTACGGCGCGGCGTTCGTGGCGCCCCAGCAGGCGTACGTGCAGCGGCAGTTCGTCGTGCAGCCGCAGGCGGTGATCCTGCAGAACCGGGTGCACCGGCAGCCGTTCGCCTTCGCGCCCGTGCGGCGTAGTTTCGCGGCGGCGCGTGGCGCCGTGCGTGGATTCGCCCGCGGCTACTAGGTAGTACCCTCTTGCCGAAGCCCGTCGCCCCGGGTTGCTGGGGCGGCGGGCGTGTTTGCTCAGCCCAACCATGAAACCCATGTCGGATGCCTTGAAAGAGAATCTGTGGCCCGTGGTGATCACCTCGCTGCTGACGGTGCTGGTGGGCATCTGTGGGTACGTGGCGGTCGGAATCCAGAACGGGCTGACGTCCGCCACCAGCACGCTCGTCGTGGTGCAGAAGGACCAGGTCAAGCTTGCGACCCAAATGTCGACGCTCACTTCGGCCGTGGAGCGGCTCGACACGCGGCAGGGCGAGCTGCGGCTGGACATGGCCGCCCGTAAAGCCAACGCGTTTACCGCCCAAGAGGGCAACGCCGTCCAGCTACGCATCAGCGGCAACACGGCGCTGATCAATGAGATACTCCGGGACAACCAGAAGACGCTCGAGCAGCTCCAGAAGGAAGACGAGCGGCTGTCTGCTCGCATTCAGGAGATCGAACGAAGCAAGCCCGGAGGCCAGCAGTGAGCCGCGCATCGATGTTCGAATACGACTACGAACCGGAGTCTTACGCGGGCGATCGCGTGGGATGCCTGCGTATGTTCGTGCTGCTGGTCGTCTTCCTGCTGGGGTCGCTGGGCTTCCTCGTAGCGGTACGCGCCGCCGAGCAGCCCACCCCACCCCAGCCTGCGGTGACCGTTACCGCTCGCGGCGGCGCGTACTACCGCGTGCTGATCGACGGCGATGAGGTGAGCAAGCACAGCACCCAGCACAAGGCTCACGAGCGGGCGGCCAACGAGGCGCTGGCCAACCCTGATGCGGCGGTTGAGGTCCGGTACGAGGTCCGCTACGAGTTCACGGCGGTGAAGCCTGCCCCAACCCCTGAACCTGAGCCCAAGCCAGACCCCGAGCCCGAGCCCACCGCTGGCGCCGTTACGGGAGAGCGGCTCAAGCTAGTCGGCGGCTATCAGATCCCGTTTACCGGCGTCGGGGGCAACAACGCCCGCTACTCCGGCCCCGGCCTGGACTACGACGCCGACCGCCGCGCGTGGGTGGTCCGCTACGGCGTAGGTGGCCACATCGCCGAGCTGATCGAGCAGGGGCCGCCCGGCGCAGGTGAGCCAGCGACATGGCCGGAGCTGGCCATCGGCCGCAGCGGCAAGCCGTTCGCCACAGTCGACAAGATCGGCCCGGCGGGCGTGCTGTGGCTGGACGCGGATACCGTGCTGTGCTCGGGCCGGAAGTCTTACCGGAGCGGATTCACCGCGGACTGGTTGGCGACGCTCAACCTGGCGACCGGCGAAGAGCGCATCATTCCGATGGCCAACCCCGGCGCCGACGAGCAGGCGAATTTCCACATGCTCCAGGCGTTCGGAGCGGGCCTCTTGCGCATCCCCCAGCCGTGGGCCGACGTGCACACCGGCGGGCGGACCATCGGTGCGGGGCGCGGCGGCTACGACGTGCTAGGGAGTCCGCTCGGCCCGGCGCTGGCGGCGATCAACCTTGACGACCCGTACCCGAAGCGGGTGCTCATCGACCACCCGAAGGAAACGCCCGCGCCCCGCAACCCCCGCTACCAGTTCGCGGATTCCGACCGCGCCCGCCTGCCGATGTGGCGTGATCCGGTCGGCGGCCGCGGGTACTGGATCGCCGGCGACTGTGGCCAGCCCGCCTGGGTGATCGGCCGCGCCCTGGTGTTCCCGGCGAGCCAGGTTGACGGAACCATCGACTACCGCGCGCAGGGCGACCGGGGCGGCAACCTCGGCCACTTCGGCGTGGAAGATCCGACCGTGTTCTACAACACGAACGACGGACCCAACCGTGGCGACCACCAGTCCGAGACGCGCAACGCCAGCCTGCCGCCAGCGGTGCTGCGTCACCGGCTTTACAGCTACGACCCGGCGCAGCTCGCCGAGGTGCTGGCCGGCGAGCGTGAGCCCCACGCCTGCGAGCCGACCATAAGCGACTTCCCGCTCCCCGAGGGCGCTAGGCTTGTGGGCCTGCACTACGACGAATCGCGTGGCCTGTTGTGGGCGCTGCTGCGTGACGTGATCGACGGTAAGAAGCCGGTGCTGGCGGCCTATACGATCACCCAAACCGAGGGCGAGTGATGGCGACAACAAGCGAAGTCAAGAGTGGGCTCGACAACATTGCCGGTGTGATCGCCGAGGCGACGCAGGCCCGCGCCAACGCGAAGGCGCTGCTGCTGCGGTCCCGCAGCCTACTAGCGGACCTGCCGACCACCTACGCGGACGTGATTAGCACGGTTGACGGCTACACGCCCACCGGCGCCTACGAGACGCTCGCCAAAGACGAGAAAGCCAAGCTCGCAACCGAGTTCCTGGCATTGAAGACCGCGATTGAAACCGAACTAACCGCCCTGTCTGTGAGTTTCTAGTTGGCTGCAAGCTACAACGAACTGTTTGGCGACGCGAGCCTGGAAGGCTTCTGGCCTTTGCAGGATGACGCTGCCTCTACGTCGGTTGCTGACGAGTCGGGCAACGGCAATAGCGGCACGCTTGCGGGCGGCGACAACACGGCGGACATCTCTACGACCGGCCCCAACGCATACTTGACCAAGGCGCTGGATCTAGACGGAGCCAACGACTATGTCGAACTGGCGACCGGCGCGGCCGTATCTGGTTCTACCAACCGCACCAACCTTGGCTGGGTCAACTTCGACTCAACATCCAATGGCGCCACTTTCTGCCAGGGCACTTCTGACGGCAATGGGGACGGCGAGCAATGGCGAGTGCGACCTTCTAGCGGAGTTCTGCGGCTGGAGATTCGCGGTGCGGGCTATGACTCGGCGTTGAGCCTTTCGGCTTCGACGTGGGGTTTTATCTCCGCGAGGCTAGACGGGACTACTCTAGCTGACTGCCGGCTGGGCGTGGATGGCAGCTACGAAGATGCCAGCGGGGCGGATTCGATCAACACGGCGTCTGAGTTCCTGCGCATTGGCGCGCGGCACGACTCGTCGAACCAGGCGGATGGCCGTGTTGCTGGTTGGGCTCAGTTCAGCCGCTCGCTAACCGATTCCGAAGTGGATGAGGCGGAAGCCGGCCCGGAAGTCAACTACGTCAGCGGCGCCACGTTTGGCGACGACGGCGCGTACAGTGTCGGCACCTGGGCGCTGCCTTCTCCGTTCTCGGGCGGAAGCAACGGCACTCCCACGTACATCGTGACGGCGGTCAACGCAGCGGGCGACGTGCTGGAGTCCAACACGACATCCACGGGCACGCTGGACCTAAGCGGCAACGCGGGCAACACCTGCTACCTGCTGGTGCGGGCGACGAACAGCGGCGGCTACGACGTAGGCGACTACGCCACGCGGACCAGCGGCTTCGGGTCGGCTGGAGATGGGTACTACGAGGTTGCCAGCGTGGTCGCGGCCGGTGGGGGTGGCGGCGTCAGTGGCAGCGGCAGCTCCACGGCTCCAGCGGCCACGTCGGCAGGTTCCGGAGCGGTTGCGATTACTGGCACGGGAGCGGCGGAATCCCCCTCGCCAGTTTCCAGCGGTGCGGGCGCCGTAGCAATCACGGGCTCGGGCGCCGCCGCAGCTCCCTCTCCGGTTTCATCAGGGGCCGGCACGGTTGCAGATGTGGGGACCGGCACGGGGGCTATGACTGCCCCCAACCCAACGTCATCAGGCGCGGGCTCGGTCGCGATCACCGGAACCGGCTCGGCAACCAGCCCCAACCCTTCGTCGTCCGGCGTCGGAGCGGTGGCGATCGCGGGCGCGGGTGGGGTGACCGCACCGAACCCATCGTCCGCGGGCTCTGGAGCGGTCGCGAGCGCTGGCGTGTCGGGTTCTGGGGAGTCAACGGCCCCTGCCGCCACATCCTCCGGCGTTGGCGTTGTGCCGATCACGGGGGCGGGGTCATCGACCGCGCCGTCGCCCACTGCCGCGGGTGAGCAGACCCCCACGGTGATCATCGTGGAGGGCGGGAACTACGGGGTATTGCCCGCGAGCGACAGCTACGGCGTGCTTGCCGTCTCCAACAACTACGGCGTGCTGCCGGCCTCAGACAACTACGCATCCCTAGGAGCCTAAACATGGCACTGAACACGACCATTGGTAACGCCGCGTCACTTGCCGCCTGCGACGGCATCGTCGACCTGATCGACGCCGGCTCTGGGGCAGGCAAGCTGCGGATCTACAGCGGCACGCAGCCGACGAATCCGGACGTGGCGATCACCGATCAAACGCTGCTGGCCGAGCTGACGTTCGGCGACCCAGCCTTCGGGGCGGCCGCTGATGGCACACCAGGCGGTGTCGCAACCGCCAACAGCATCACCGCGGACAGCAGCGCGAACGCCTCCGGAACAGCAACGTGGTTCCGGGCGGTCGACAGCGACGACAACGCGATCTTCGACGGCACGGTCGGCACATCCGGGGCCAACCTGAACCTCGACTCGGTGTCGATCACGGCTGGCCAGAGTGTGAGCGTCAGCAGCCTGACGTTCACGATGCCCGAAACCCCGAGCTAGTGCGATGGCTTACCTAGCAACCCTCGACGGCCACCCGGCGGAAGAACCCGTCTCGCTGAGCCTGCTGCCGATCATCGCGCTAGTGGGGGCGATCAGCGTCGACGACATCACGGTGACCAGCACGAAGACCGCCAACGTGACTGTCGCCGACAAGGCCCTGAACTCAGGCGAGGAGACGCACGCCGGCACGGTGCACGCGGCGGGCGAGCTGCTCAAGTTCACGGTGGCCAGCGCCAAGGAAGGGCACGGCAAGTCACTCGACACGACGATCAAGATCCGGGTGCAGAAGGCGTCCGCAAACTTCGACAAAACGTACAAGGCCCAGGTCGAGAAGACCGACGGGGCGGAAGTGGTCCTATAGGAGACCGACAAGTGATGCGAGCAATCCTGATCGCCTGCCTGATGGCCGCCCCCGCGCTGGCCGTGCAGCCTATTCAGTACATCGAGGGCGCCAACTCGACGCTGATCATGCGGGACGGCGACCCTGGCAGCAGCGACCCCGTGGCGTTCCGCGGCATCCTACCATCGGATGCGATCCAGAACCGCAACCTGCTGACCGTCACGAACACGCAGGACATCGCGGCCGAGGTGGATGACTACGCCAACGAGGCGCACATCGGCCTCTTGGCGCAGCGAGATAGCGCGACCGCCAGCGACAACACGCACCGGCGCTATATCAAGTTCGGCAGCGAGTACGGCGGAGCGGGCTCGGGGCGTCAGTACGACTGGTACACCGGCGCGAACGCGGCCCACGTCTGGATTCTCTACGACGCCCTGGCGACCACGCACCGGCTGTGGTTCCCGACTGGCGGAGACACCGAGATCCGCGCAGCGACCGGTGCGAACCGTGTGATCCTCAACCGCAGCGAGGGCGGCACCGATGGTCTGGCGGTCTACAACGGCGCCTCCGACATCCTGTTCGCCGTGGATGGCGACGGCGAGGCGACGATCGGCGGGAGCTCGATCGCAAACGTCGGCCTGACCATCGCGGACAAGTCGACGGCGATCCGCGCCTACAACTCGTCCGGCGTCTCGCTGACCATGGGCCGGGACGGCGGGACGGTGGGCAACAACCAGGCGCTCGCCACGATCAACTTCCGCGGCGTGGACGATGCCGAGGCCACCGGCGCGCAGATCATCGCCTACGCCGACGCCGCCTGGGCCGACGGCGACACGCCCGGCCGGCTGACCTTCAGCACCACGCCGGACGGGAGCGATTCGCTCGTCGAGGCGATGACGATCGACTCCGACCAGTCGGTGACCCTGGCCGGCGACCTGCTGGGCCCGGTGGCCGACTTCCGTAACGGCGACCCGGGTTCGGCCGACCCGGCGGAGATCCGGGCGATCCTGCCGATCGACGCGGCCGCGAATCGCAACCTGCTTACGGTGACCAACAGCCAGGACGTGGCCTCGGTGGTCGACGACTATGCGAACGAGGCCCATATCGGCCTGTTCACGCAGCGCGACGCCGCGGGCAGCACGAGCACGGCGCACCGCCGCTACATCAAGTTCGGGACCGAGTTCGGCGGCGCCGGGGTTTCCCGCGCTTACGATTGGTACCTCGGCGCCAACGGAGCCCACGCGTTTATCTGCTACGACAACGAGGACGCGACGCACCGGCTGTCATTCCCCACGGCAGGTGACTCCGAGGTCCGCAGCGGCACGGGCTCGACCAAGGTGGCCATCAACCGCAGCGGCGGCGGAACCGGTGGGTTCGAGGTCTACGACGGCACGACCACCTCGGTGTTCACCGTTGAGTCAGACGGTGATTGCTCGATCAACGGCGGCACTACCAACAATGTCGGGCTCACGATCAACGACAAGTCGACGGCGGTTCGGGCGTTCAATTCGACGGGGTCTTATCTGTACTTCGGACGCTCCGGCGGCACGGTCAACAGCGGCCACACCCTGGGCGGCATCTACTTCCGCGGCGTGGACGACGCCGAGGACACCGCCGCCGCCATCCTATCGCAGGCCGAGGCGTCCTGGGCCGACGACGACACGCCGGGGCGGCTGGTGTTCAGCACCACGCCGGACGGCACCGACGACCTGACCGAGGCCGTGCGGATCGAACACGACGGCGACCTTAAGCTATCGCGGGGAAACCTGCTGCTGACTGAAAAATCGGCCGACCCGAGCAACCCCGCCGAGGGCGAATCCGTGCTGTGGCAGTCCGACGGCACCGGCACGGGCGACGATGGCGACATCCTGATCAAGGTAACCGCGGGCGGCGTGACCAAAACCGCGACCCTCGTTGACTTCTCCGCTCTCCCGTGAGGCTGACCATGCTCCGCAAGCTGTTCGCGTTCCTGCTGCTCGCTGCGCCGGCTCTGGCCGACGTGGGCCCCTACAAGCACACCAACGGCCTAGGGCCCTCGGCCGTCTACGTGCTGTTCGCCGACGACAGCGACACCGCCGTCCGTATGACCGAGGGGGCCGGGCTGAAGGCCGGGCTCTACACGGCGTCGGACTCCGACATCGCCACCGCGCTGCTGGCCGCGGGAACCCACGCGGGCACGATCCGGGTGGGCGACTACTCGAGCCCGTCGGCCAGCGACCAAGTAATCGGCGTGTTCGGCGGGTTCGTCTGGTCAGGGTCGGCAGAGGTCGACCAGGTCGGCGGCATCAAGGCCGTCACCGACAACCTGCCGGACAGCGGCGCGCTGACCACGATCAACACCAACGCCAGCACCGCCGCCACGCAGAGCACGGCAGGGGCCAGCTCGGCGGCTGCGGTGCAGGCCAAGCTGCCGGCGGGCGGCAAGGTGATCGCTGCGGCGGGCGACAGCGTAACCGACCTCGACGGAGTCAACAGCGGCGGCACGTCGGCTCCGTTCCTCAATCGCAAACCCAACGCCACAGTCAAGGTGAGCACCAGGGCGGACGGCTACCTGACCAGCAACCGGGTGCGCGTCCTGCCGGGAGAGACCTACGTGGTGGCCCTCGAGTACCCCGACCCGAACAACTGGCTGTTCGCGATGACGCTGCCCGTCTCGCCTGACACTGACCAGCTGACCGTGGACTCGGATGCTTACGGTGTGAATCGCAACCTAGCCATGGTGGAGGTCACGCTGGCAGCGGACGCCACGGTTGGCTCGACCATCACCCTGCCGGTGAGCGTGCAGCCCGAGCAGGGCACGACAGACAAGCGGAAGGTGTTGTTCGAGGTGATCGATCCAGACCAGTAGCAGGTGGGAGAATCTCCCACCTGGTGGGCTCTCAGGGCGTCCTGGCGGGGTGGGGGGGGGCGGTCGGGTCCTCTCTGGGTGGTGCGGCGTCCCGTTGGGGGCGGAGCTGATCGAACGGGTTTCTCCGAAGGAGTGCGGTTTTTGGGGTGCTAATACTAGTACCCGGGCACATCCATGAATGGGCGCAGCTACGACCAAAAAGCGATCCCTCGCCGCCGGGGCGGCAATTCTGAAACTCCGAGAAGACCCGCTCAGCAGTGAGGCGATCGCGGCTCTCGTTCCCGGCGTGGCCAAGACCCTGGACGAGGTGGCTGAGTTCTTCGGGATGTCACCAAACACGATCAAGCAGAGCTGGAAGTCTGCTGGCATGCCGGGCCGGTCCGGCCGCTACCCGCTGGCACAGATCGCCGAGTGGCGTCTCAAGCACCTCGCTAGCGTAGAAGACGGGAAACGAGGCCCCAGCGACCAGGCAAAGCAGCTCAAGCAGCGACTGGCGGAAGCTGAGGTTCGCAAGGTGGAGCTCGACGTTGAGCGGAAGGAGCGGGAGCAGCAGAAGGCGATTGGAAACCTCATTGATCGTCAGGCCGTCCTGTCAGTGCAGTCCGCGTTGAACGCTGGATTGGCAGCTCGATTCGCCGAGCGGACTGTTGCGAACAAGATCTACAAGATCCTGGAGAACATCAGGCAAACAGCAGGTCAGCTTCCGCCACCGAGGTTTCGCAAACTAACTGAGATCCGCCTGAGCAGCTCGCCGTGGTACGTCGCGTGGTCGGGGTCCGACACCATGCTGGCCGACCTCTCGGCCTTCTACGGGTACGCCAACGAGATTGATAAATGGAGCATGGCGGAGAAGCTGGCCGGCGACGCAGGCGATGGCGACGCGCTCGACCAGTTCTTCGAGCGGTTCAAGGAGTTCTACAACTACAAGGTGCTCCTGGAATGCAGCCCGACCACAAAGCGCAAGAGCCGCATCGAGAACCGCCGATTGATGGGGAATAACTGCCGGTACAACGTGCCATGCCCAAAGTGCGGAACCCATCAAGCCTTGAGGCTTGGGAAAGAGGGAGAGCCCGGTGGCCTGCGATGGGATCGCGCACCGGATGGATCATCGGATCCGTCGATCGCGAGGAAGACCGCGAGGTATGTCTGTTGTCATTGTGAGTTCGAGGCCCTGAACCATCATCGCCCGTTGATGATGCGGCGCGGAGTGTGGTGTCCGGAGGGTTGCAGCGTCGACAAGCGTGGCCGTGTGCGGGGCACTCCCCGTCGCGGTCCTCGGATCTGGAGCTCACAGCTTTCATCGCTCTACTCACTTCAGATGGGGTGGGGTGAGATTGCCGAGAAGTTCCTGCAGTCAAAGGGCACCGCTAAGGGCATGCGAACGTTTGCGAATGGCTGGCTTGCCGAGACCTGGGAGCCGTTCAAGGCCAAGAGCGAACCCGAAGAGGTTGGCCAAAGACTGACTGTGGCGGGCGCGAAGCGGGGTGTGATACCTGCTTGGGCGACATACCTATTCGCTGCAGTGGATCGTCAGCTTGACCATTTCGTGTACTGGGTGGTCGCGTGCGATGCGGAAGAGCGGGAGCACCTGGTGGATCATGGCACGCTGGACAACCTGGAGGAGGTTGAGCGGGTAGTTATTCGCAGAGAATTCGATCACGAGGATGGAGAGGGCCCGCTGTGCCCAGCGGTGACGGCGATCGACTGCGGGTATCAGACGAAAGAGGTTTACGAGTTCTGCCAGCGATTCAAGAAGACGAAGCACCGAGTGGTGCCGATTAAGGGGGCGAATACCGACTGCGCGGGAGAGCCGTACGAGAAGAAAATCATTGGCGTTAACGAAGGCAAGACGACCCGCACTAGGCGGCGCCTCATCCGCGCTGGTCGCGGCTTGCCTCGCGTCCGCGTGAACCCGTTCTACTACGAGCCGATTACTCAACAGCAGCTCGAGAAAGGCCAGCCGGGGAAGCCTGGGGCACTCACATTCCACGAGGAATGCATCGACGACACCGACCTGCTTCGTCAGCTGTGCAATGGGGCTGAGTCGCCCGAGCCTAGCAAGAGCGACCCGGATCGCCACCTTTGGGTCAAGCGGTGGGATGGTGACGCGAATGACTACCGGGACTGCAAGAAGTACGCCCGTTGCGTCATGGATGTGCATTTCCGAAGGATCTGGCAAAGGGCTCAGGTTCGGCAAGGGGCTCGCGAGAAAGTAGCCGAGCTGCCACCGTTCGCAGAGCAGGACGCGGCTGATGGCCAGCGACCTCGGCCACCGCGCCGGCGTCAGGAAGTGCGAGAGCAGAGGCGCCCGCGCTCAAGGAGGCCAACATGACAGCCCCTCCCTACACGGGCGATCCATGCCCTCGCCCGAGCTGCAATGGAACGCTGGTGATTTACGATTCTCGCGTCATTGAGGGCACGACTTCACGGCGTATTTACTACCGGTGCAAGAGGTGTCGGCACCTGCCCGCCAACAACAAGCGGATCGAGCGCGATATGAGAGCTTTTCGACAGGCGGTTACTAGATCTAGTAAGGCGTGAGAACGACTGGCGTGGTTGTGCCGCTATTCTTCGGGCATGGATCTCACTCCGTACACGTTTGGCGATGCTTCGAACGCCGACCGCCTGCGGTATCTGCAGCAGCAGTACGCGGAGGCGTCCGCTGCGCAGGAAGTCAGCACGAGCGACCGCACCGTCAGGCGCCAAAGGCTTGATCTGCTCGGCGCTGAGATCCGTGAGCTAGAGGCCAAGATCGCTCGCAGCCGTCGCCTGCGTCGTGCGTACGCCCAGCGAGTGAGGCCCACCTAATGCCGCCTCGTCGCATTATTCTTGATCAGCATGGCAACCCGATCGTGACTGCGTCGGAGGAGGCGCGGGTGGCCAGGCAAGCAGAAATGGCGCACC